CCTATAAGCTTCTTGTGTTTGATTTTCCTTTTCATTCTTTTGATTTGGGAAATTGGCTGATATTATTTCATTAAAAATATCCCAATAAATCTTAAATTTGGTCTTTTCATGTTATCCCATATTTCTTTTCATGGTTTGTTATCATCTTCTCTCCATGGTCAACTCTATTTTCAAAATTATATAATTTGTCTCCAGTGCCTGAGGTTCTGTCTTCCAAGTGATATCATCTGTTGGTGATGCTTTCTATTGAATTTTTAAAAATCATTTCATTAATTTTGAGTATTTCAGCTTTTTTTAAGAATCTCTGACTCTTTATTAAAATGATCTTTCACTTCCATTTCATTCATTATACTATCCTTTACTTCACAAATTAGTTTAACAATGTACATTCTATACTCCTCTTACATTTTTTTCCAGTTGGTGTTGATGGATTCTGTTATTAGAGTATGTTAGTTTGTTTGGGGCAATTTATTCTCTTGCTTTTTTATGTTGTTTGTTTTCCCCTAAAACAGTATGGATCTGAGGCAGTACAGTTTCTACCCTGTAGATTTATAGTGTCCCTGAACATTTCCAGTACCTCACTGTTTTGGAGGAGACAAATAATAACAACCAATGCAAGCAATATACAGCATTAAACCAAATAGTTCCTACTATGACTTTTACAATGTTAATTATCACAATAAACAGAAGTGATATGATCAGTTATTGCCTATAATAAAAACAGCAAGTTTGCAAAAGGGTTTACACTTTCACATAATGGACATTGAGAGAACAGAAGTGACATAGGATGTGATGATTGTTAGGGAGGAGGAGAGAAACCAGAAGTAAAATATTAAAGGAAGAGTGAAAGAGAGAAAAATAGAGATTGGCTATTAGCAGAAGAAAAGAGAATCAAGGGAAACATAGGTAGGACAAAATATATATATAAAATTTTAAAAAGTTAAAAATAAAAGAATACAAAACAAAACTAAAATATACTAATCAAATATCCTAGTTCATAACAAACTGATCCATGAAAAATAAATGTCTCCAGAAATTCTAGAAATTAGAAAAAAAATGAAATTTTATAAATGTCCATGTACCATCAAGGTCACAATTAATCAGAGAAATAAAGTAAATTTAAAAAATTAAAAATCTTGATGAAAAGTTGAAGAATTTATTCCATTTGCATTCAAAATATGCTCAGCTTCTCTTGTCGGCAGTTTTAGGTAGGGGGTCTGGAGAGTGATGCTCCACCCTCTGGATTGCTGGAGTGAGAGAGGTAATATCATGAATTAACCTGCAGAGCATCTTTCAGGTTTGTTTGGCAATGTCCTTGGTCTCTAAACACTCTGTACTGAAACATGCCTTGGGCTTCCCAAAAATGTGGGTTTCCTTAATTCCCTCAGCCCTCCACTATGCTCAAGAAGAGATAGTTTGGGCTGGTGCTTCTGGCCCAGCTGTGGCAGTGGTTGTGGGGCTGCTGATTTTTTTCCTTATTTCATCATATCCAACCTCATGTGTCCCTGGTCTGGTTTGAATGTCCAGTTTCAAGTCCCAGTAAAGTCTATCTCCTACTTTTTTTGCTCACCCACTTTGTGGAGAAGCTGCCTATCTGCTTTCTTGGTTTCACTCCATGGAACAGCTAGGAACGTGACCACCTCCTATTCTACCATCTTGGATAAATCCTGATTTATTTATTATCAGATTTTTTATCTGATATTTTATCCACTTTAATAACTTTGAAGTCAGTTGCTGGTGAATTATAAACTTTATGGCATTTTGTATTACCTTTTTTTTCATATTTCTTTTGTTTGTGTTTTAGGTTTTCTGCATCTGGTAGTATGGATTTCTCTTCCATTCTTACACATGGTTCTTTTAAGGTTCAGTCCTCTTGTGAAGTGATGTAGTAATATATATTGAGGCCACTCATAGGTGTGGTATTCACAACTTTTTTGTTAATTATTTCTGTTTTTTTTTTTCTTTTTCCTATAGAAGTAGATATCTATGAATGAGGCCTGAAGAACCACTTATCCATTCCTGCTTGGGACCTAGTCATTGATTTGTGGGTTTTGTCTCTTTTGTACTTTGTAACGAGATATCATTGAAGTTTGAGTGTGGTTAATTTCTGTGTGGATCAAGGAGAGCTCTTTCCTGGTTGGGTTTGGTTCAGCAGCAGAGTCTCTACCCTGTGAACATGTAGTGCTTACAGGTGCCAGCACCTTACGGAAAAGGGGACAACTTGAGCAAATGAATAACTGCTATCACATCTAAAGCACTAATTACCACAAACATCAGGAATGGTAAGGTCAGCAATTGCCAACAGCTAAAATAATGAATAACCATGAACTAGATCTGATATTGAAGTAAACACTAGATGTCAAGTATGCCATCCACAGTACTAATAATTGCAGTAATATTAATAGTGGGGTAAGAGTTATATAAACCAAATAGTTCTAAAGGATTGTAAAAGTACATTCATTCAAGCAAAAGAAAAATGTGATGGGGAACTAACAGTGTTTATAACGGTCAAAATGTGAGCAGAAAGAACACAGAAGAGATGTAACAAGTAATGGATTTAAAGAAGCACAAAAGACAAAAACAACAGAAAAAAAAGTAAAGGGAAGAGAATGAGAACAAGAGAATTTCTCTAACTGGGAGAAGAAAGGAGAGAAAGAGAAACAAGAGTAAAAATAAAGCCAAAACAAATAAACAAAAATTCTAACCCTCAAAACACAAGGAAAAATAACTATCATAAAAAGTGCTAAAAAATAAGAAAAAATAAACAAATATGTGTATATATGATATATATGTCCACAAACCAACCAGCAGCACAACAAGAGGGGAGATGGAGGAGGGAAGAAAGGAAGAAAGAAAGAAAGAGTGTTAATAAAAAATGAAAGAATTGTCTCCACTGAGGTAGTCAAATCTGTTTATGGGGATGGATGGTCACTGACTCTGGCCTATTATCCTTTCCATTTTTTTGGGGGGGGCTATGTTTCAGGAGGGGGGCGATGGAGAGGGGGAGAGAGAAGGAGGGGGAGAGAGAGAACACCAAGGTCTGGGTGTTGTTAACCCCTCCTTCTTTCTGTGTTGCTCATAAAGCTGCCAGTTGGAGTGGCCTAAAATTGAAGCTGGTTGAAATAGTTCTCAGCTTCCCTTTTCAGCAGTTAAAGGTAGTATGGAATGGGAAGTATTGTCATTTGGAGTTTTGTGCAGAGAAACGAGATGCAGGCACTCCCAGTGGGGGACTACAGCAGAGTTCCAAGTGGGATGTTCTGTTGGCTGGAGATGATCACTAATCCGTCCTTAGGAGCTTTGTTGGTGGTATTTGCTCTGGAGAGATTAGATCAACACGCTCCTAAGACTGGGAAGATGTGAATCTCTGTTGAGTCTAGATTCCAGAAGTCTCCCAAGAACTTACTCACAGGAACCAACCCTCCATGGATCTCACACTCCAGTGCCCAAATACACTGTCTGCCCAGGCTTAGACTCTGAATGTATCCATGCTTACCTGTTTAGTTTCCCAACCATCTTCAGCTAGTTACATGAACTGTCAGACTCAAAGTGAAAGCAATTTGCATTCCCCTCTGTATTACTGACTTGAATTTTTCTGGGTACAATCTTCTCTGTGCCTATTTCACTCACATTCTGCAAGGTACACCCTCGTTCACATGTAGATGCTTTCCGGGACAGTATGGCAACGTTTGCTATGATCTCCTGAAGCTCCCTGTCTCAGCTTTCTGCTGGCCAGTGGAGACACAGAGCACTTTTAAAACACCAGTTCATTGTGAAGTCTCTCAGCCACACTCAGACTGCTTCTGTGATCTACAGGTTTCGCCATGCCAAATTTGTCTTTTGTGTTTCTCTCCCTTCTGGGTGAACCAGTTCTTTTGCCATTTCTGCTGCCACAACTATCTTGGATCCAATGTATCTTTTCTTTTTCATTGTTCAGTGTACCTGGATTTCTGAGTCTCAGACAGACTCTATCTGATATGAAGTTTTTAGTGAATTTCCCCTTTCACCTATGTCTCTAAGAAGCAGTACTCCTGGTGCTTGATTCCTGAGCCAAAGAGCATCTAGAAATGCAGCCTTCCTCTAATCTGCCATCTTCAATCTCCTTACTGTGTCATGTTCAATTTATATTTTCTCTTAAGTTTGTGGTGCTCCCTAAAGTTATTCTATTGTGACTTCTGGCAGTACTAAGGGATCAGTTGGGTTAGTTTAAACTTAAAAAAGAGGCTGTCTCATTATTTTAGTATATATTTCTGACTTTGAAAGAGAAATTTTTATTTTAGTTATAAACAACTCTCCATTATCATGTTCTAGTGATTTGCTTTATACAGTAGCATGAAGCATTTTATAGTCTTTTTTTCCAGGTTGTAGTAATGATTTTGAGGCTCCTGAAAATATGAATTATATTTCTCTGTAAAAATCAAGCCCTGGTACCTACTAGTTGCCTAAATTAATATTGACTTAAGTATTATTTTTGATAGTAATACATCATTTTACAGAGACTCAAAGGCAATACCATCTTTAGAAAAATGCATCATAAATCTATGAAATGTGATGAATGAGTTGCTATAAAAGCACAATATTCTTTTGTCTCGATTGTACCTTGTTTTATGAAATTTTCATAGTACATGGTTTAGTTGTTACTACTCTTTCTACCTGTTATTGAAGAACTGAAGCTGGCTACAGATATCCACAGAAGATGTGGATATTCTTAGTTTTCACATTTTCAGATTAGCTCATGATTGTTAATTTTGCTTTCCTTAGGACTCCCCATAAATCAGTGACCATCTTAATCAAGGAAGTCTTTCCTTCTCTCATCACAAACAGCAAAGTAAACAAACAAAAAAAAATGGGCTCATCTCTTTGTAATATGTGACTCATATTATACTGTAGCAAGTCCAATATGTTCAGTTAATATTACTTTAGCAATGTTTTTCTAATTAGTTTTGTTTACATTGATTTCACCATGAAATATTTTACATTTTAATTCAACTTTTCTTTTTTAGCTGTATTTTGGGGCGATATTGCCTTAGATGATGAAGACTTAAATATCTTTCAAATAGATAGGACAATTGACCTGACACAGAACCCCTTTGGAAAACTTGGACATACCACAGGTATGGCTATTTGAGTAATTTTTTGCTCATTTTGAAGAATACATACTCCTGGCATGCAATGAATATTTTTTTGATCATATTTAATGTCCCATGGAACAACTTTGATTTCTTGCACAGAAATTCGTATATCTAGACATTTTACTTATAGTTTTCATTTTATTAAACTTATTTTAGTGTTTTACTACGTACCAGGCATGGTTTAAGTGATTTGCAGATATTAACTCTTGAATCTCATAACAAACCTCTGAAGGTTGGTACTAAAGTGATTACAATTAACAGATGAGGAGACTGAAGTTTAGAAGGATGTATAGCTTTCTTATTGTGACAAATAAGTGGCTAGGTCAGGAACAGAATTCAATTCTTGTAGGACAAATTTCATAGTCTTCTATTGCTTTCCACTTGATATACAGTTTCAAAATGTAAATTATTCTTTAAATAATTATATAGGAGCTTATTTAGAAGAATCTATGTATCTACTGGTATGGATATGTGAAATTTTTATATAACTTTTTTGAAAACCCCAAGAGAGGATTTCATTTTAGTTGTTCTTAAAATTTGAATTATGACCATATAAGAATTGAACTCTATTAAATATTATTTAAATACTCATATTAAAATATTTTTATTAAAATTTAAAAATTAGTTATATTTTCATGTTATGATTTTTAATGTGTTCTATTTTGGAGAAGAATTTTAAGGCTAAAAGAATAGAATTTCTTTTTGTAGTTATAGCTAAAAAATGTATTTGATGTCATTTGTCATTGCATTACCATCCCCTTTATTAATTTTGTATTTTTTCTTTTCCATGGAAATCAAATACATAGTTCCTGTCTGATATCTATTAGACAAATATATATCCTAAAAAGATGTTACTGTAAATCAATATCACTTTGCCCAATTTAGTGCTTTTGCAACTTTTTTATTGTGGCAAATTTCAAACACGAAAAAGTCCATAGGATAGTGCAAGTAGAAACATCAGCATGGTATGTCTTAGATTCAACAATTGTTAACAGTTTACTACATTTGCTCTGTGTGTGCACATACATGTACAAATGTGTACAAAACATTTTGAAATTAATGGAAGAATATATAAAACACTTAATATAGGGTGATTAGTATACATTTTCTAAGAATAAGGACTTTGTCCTATGTAGTGAAAATAGCATTATCACATTTAAGAAAATTATTTAAAACAAGAAATCTATATGATAAACCCTAAGGAATTTATTGAAAATAATAGTACATACTATTTAAGAATAGTAGGCATGGCCTTTGTTTTATATATAGCAACCATATTTTCTGAAATATGCACCAATGTGGGGGGAAATGGAATCTTGCTTTACAGTGGAATCATAGATAGAACATTCCTGTTCAACGTGTCCACTGGCAGATTTTCCAGCTGCTGTATCCCATTTAACATTGCCATGGAGGCATTTTATTCTGAAGAGTAGAGAAATATTATCACATAGCAAAATCCTAGTTTTATTGGAAGTTGTATTTTCGGCTTATATTAAAATTTTCATTTGCTTTAAGATTTATTTAGGTCATTTTTTTAACTCTCTTCCTTCATTATTTTGTAGCCATTAATTCTATGTGATTTAAAATTTTCTAATACAATGATTTAATTTTGTTATTTAATTTAGAGTTAAATTCTGAGGTAGTATAGTTATAAAAGATAATAACACTATATTAAATATGCAGACTAAAACTTACTCTGTTAATAATGGAAATATTTATTGTAAATGTATGTATGAAAGGTACACACATTTGAAATTTAGTGGTAGCTTGCACTACTTAGAGGAAGTTTTAAAAATGTGAGATATCCTATATCTTATTTTTATTCTCTTTTTCTTTCTTGTTAAATAATTTGTGCTAACTGTTTCTCTTCTCCTAATTTTAAACTTTGAATTTTTGCCATAAATATTTAACTTGCATATTTTCATTATTTTTGAATATGTGGAGAAATAACCATTTCCCCTTTTCTATTTCAATAAATTTCCTCTGCAGAATTTTATTTCAACAGCTATAAAATTATTAAAAATGACTTAAAATATTATTCAAGACATTATTGCCTTTGTCTTGAAATGCTGTTTTTCCAATTTTATAACAACTCTAGTCATTATAATTATCTTCATATTATTATCTTTATCTTTCTTTTTTCTCACAAAGTCCCTTCTATGTCTATTTACAGGTATTTTAGGTCTGTGTAATATAAATACAGTTGCTACCTAAGGGTCATTTTAAACACATAGATGACATACTTTAAAAATGTTTCTCGTAACTGCTTAGGAATGAATACATTTCAGTATGACCTCATCTTTTTAAAATGTTCAGTGAAAAAATTTCAAAAATTTTTCTCAAGATGCACAGCAAAAATGTGACCATGTCATGCAAATAATTAGGCAGATTATTTCTCAGTGAACAAGCCCTATAACTTATTTGCCATATAAGGACTTGTTTGATTTTTCCTTTAAAAGCTTATACAATAGTAAATTTTATTATAGTATTTTTAGCTTTAACCTAAGCTATTACATTTAATATTAACTAATTTTGAAGGCAAATTGATATTGGAAGGAAATTGTCCAAAGTGTTAGCATAGTTTGTTGACTTCATGAATTTCAGCCTGTCTTTCAATTTCAGCCTTTATGAACCATAGATGCTCAGTGGTCCAAATTCATCTGAATATGTTCTGATGTTGATAGTTGTTGTATTGATTGTTTGCTCAGTGATACCTCTTTTTGTCTGTTAAAATTCAAGGAGATTAGGGGATATAGAGGACAAAATTGAGAGCTGCATTTTCTAAAAGCCCTGGAATGAGATTTTTTCTCAAAAGCTCTGCTTTCTGTTTTAGGACAGAAACCTATCTTTTAAAGTCTTTGTCAGTAATTTTTATTAAAGACATATTTTCTTAGTTCTCTTCTCTCCTCTTCCTTTTGAACTTTAATATTCTTTAGATCTGTTTTCATAAATTTTATAAATTACATAATGTGATGGGATGCATTTTCAATTGAACACCATTTAGGTTCTTGTGATTTTCTTCTAATTCCAAATTTATTTCAAAATAAAATTAATTGGAGAAACTTGATTTTTTTAAAACGACATTTTTAAAAAATGTAATTGAATATATTATAAAATGTATTAAAAAGTTTTCAAAAATTATCAATACTTTGGAGCAAAACTTGTGCTACTGGGATATAAAAATATCCAGTTTGCATAGAGGAAATAGCTGAAATACAATCAGTAGAGCAGAACAACTTGCTGTTATTACATATAACATTATGTGATATCATGGTCACAGTGAAGAAAATTCTTCAAATTATCAATAGATGAATGAATTGCCATGATGTCCAAATAAAGTCATGATTCAGATTGCTCTCTGAATGCCCCACACATCCTTATTTTTAGTTAGCAACATTGTTGCTGTAGATTTTTTACCTTACACAAGGAGTCATGGATATCCATAACTCTAACACGTTAAGATCAAAGAAAGGATGTCCAGAGGAAACCAGTATAGCATATTACTATTGTTTATTTGTGAGAACTTGAAAATACATTGAGTGTAACTCAAGTGTTTTCTTGTATTCTTTAAGGTGGACTTGGTGACCATGGTATGTCAAAGAAACGAGGGGCCCTCTATCAACTCATAGACAGGATAAGAAGAATTGGCTCTGGTATATCAATGTTTAAAGTTGCAGACGCTTGACTTGATGTACAGTAAATATTATACTCATAGAAGTTTGGTTAATTAAAATCAGTGTGCCATTATGATATGAAGTTTGTAAAGAATATATGCTGAGAAAGAGTCCTTTCTTTATTTAGTTTTGTTAGCCAATATATGATATAAGGATTGTAGAACTTAATTTGAAAAATTTGAAATGTTCTTTTAACTTATTTTAAGTTTCTATTTTAAATGTATTAGGTATTTATTTTGTTTATACTTATTTCCAGTCAATTGAGTATCACAGCAAGATATTTTAATAAATCAAGAAGCTATATCAATTTTAATCAAATGGAAAAATATCATAACTATTTCTTTTTAAATAAGTCACTTAAATTGACAAACTAATTTCTTACATTGAAAAGGTAATGTGTTTTTGACCATGAAGCATACATTTAAGACATTCAAATAAACTACTTTCTGGTTTTATAATTAGTAAATATTTATTGAAGTTATTAAATGCTGTTTTTGGATTTTAGTTTTTTAAAGTCCTTTATTCATGCTTATATTCTAACATCTCTTAAATTGATGGATTAATAATTAAATTTTCGAAGTGCTTTCAAGTAATAATTTTCCTAAGCAAAGATGCTTTGCCCCAGGACAGACATAGGTACAGGGAGCACGCATTTAATACTTGTTATGTCAAAACATATTCTAGTGAAAAAGCATTTGTATCAACAATGATAGATGAATATAAAAAAATCATGTAAATTTATGAAAAACGAAACAGTAACTGAAACTATTATGAAAGACCACCAAGAAAAGTCAAAGACTAGACTTGGAAGCTGCTCCAGAGAGAATGCATTTTATATGAGCCTGCTCTTGAGGTACCTACCTCTGAGTCATGCTGATACGTGGAGAAGAATTCAGGGGAAACTGGAATGGAGATGGCTGAGTGTCCGCAGGAGTCAAGAGCACATCTGTTTTTATGTTATTTTGTTGATTATCAATATAATGTAATATTCATAATTTTAGACATATTATAGAATATTAATTTTGATTTAAAGTATGAGGGATTTAGCCAGAATAAGAAGAGTCTTGAGTACCACATGACTTTATTAAACAACATCTATTTTATTTTTGGGGGGGAGAATTGGTAGTGAGTTAGTAAAATAGAAAATATAAAACCATTTTATTTCTGGCTTATATGCCTGTGTGAATTCTACCTGCTGTGTACTGTTGTATGAAAATTCTTCAAAATTCATTTATAGAGCATTAAGAAATAGTATTTGGATATGAAATACTTAAATATTTTAGTGCTTTTCTAAGCTATGTAATATAACTAAAGTTTTTTAAAAATGAATTTTGACTTCAGGCATATTTATTCAAATATGTAAATAAGACATTTCAACTTTTGTCCTTTAAGAGGTAAATGATTCCCTGACAGAGGACTTCTGTTTCACAGAATGTTTTAAATGTCACTGCAGGCTTGGAGCAAAACACCACAGTTAAGGGAAAAGTACCTCTAAAATTCTCAGGGCAAAATGAGAAAAATCGAGTTCCCAGAGCTGCTACATCAAGAACTGAAAGAATATGGCCTGGAGGTGTTATTCCTTATGTTATAGGAGGCAACTTTACTGGTAAGATATTCCCAGAGTGTCTGTTTTGATAAAGAAACACAATTACCATGCAGATTAAGTGTGCGTTTTTATAGAATAGGAATATAGCAACCATAGTATTCAATCAAACTTGGAAAAACACTCCCTTAACCTAGGTTACTAGCTTAGAATATCTTTGAAACTTGGAAAAGAATATCTTTACCCTAAGAGTCTAAGAAATGTTGTGGTTTTTAAACTGAGCTTCAAATGCGCCTATTAAATCTGGAAGCTGATCTCTCTTCAACTGACAGGAAGAATGTATACACCATCTATAGAGCCTTGTACACACATATTTGTAGAGATAGAGAGCCCTGACCTTCTGATTATAAAGTGAGTGTTGATTCTTAATAATGACTCATCTGGGGTGCTATAAGCTAGTACTCTTTGTTTAGTGATAACAATGGCATTCTGAATTGCCCGCCTAGCTCAGGATGGGGGAGCCAGCACAAAGCACTCCTCCCTGGAGTGGACACCATTGTATTAAAGTCGTGCCATTTTTTTCCAGGCAGCCAGAGAGCCATGTTCAAGCAGGCCATGAGGCACTGGGAAAAGCACACCTGCGTGACATTCATTGAAAGAGGTGATGAAGAGAGTTACATTGTATTCACCTATAGGCCTTGTGGGTAAGTAGAACCCGGAGATGATTGAAGTTCAGATGGAAAAAAAAAAATAAACTCCACAAATAGGATTTGTTTATTAATATTTGCATAGAACTTTGGCCATGAGAAAGTCTGAGTTTTTACATAAGAAAATATTATATATTAGATGAATATATTCTAGGACCACAGAATTTTGTGCCTATAGGGCAAGTGGTTTCCTCCCTCCACCACACCACTTTCTAACAGTGGCATTGCTGATATCCACTCACCCAAGTTCAGAACTTGAGCATATTTGTGCTTCTGGTGTGCTTCCTCTGAAATCTGTGTTTTCACCTCGTCCCACGTTAGTGCTCTGGTTTGCTTACATCTTCAGCATCCCATGCCTGGGCTATTCTTCTGTCTTGCTCATCAATTTGCTGCCAAACTAGAATTATTTTCTAAACGTATTGGTCAGAGCAAGGTTCTACATTTTCTGAGTGTCTTAGATATTCCCTCCCATAGTAGTGTTTTCCAGATTTGCTTCTTGCAGGATAACAACTACTTTCTCAAAAATAATATGTCCCATGCTTATATAATTAATTAAAATGAACTCTAATATCATGTATAACTATAATGCATTAATAAAACAAACCTCAAAAAGGCTTCTGTAAATTGTGAAAATGCTGTGCTGTATTTTAATAGATATTTTTACAGCAGTGTGGCAATGAACCTCAGTATTATTTATTATTATTATTATTATTTTGGTACCAGGGATTGAATCCAGGGGCATTTAACCACTGAGCCACATCCCTAGTTATAATATATATAAAATCTTAGAGACAAGGTCTTTCTGAGTTTCTTAGGGCCTACGTTGATAAGGCTGGTTTTGAACTTGTGATCCTCCTGCCTCAGCCTCCTGAGCCACTAAGGATTATAGGCATGTGCCACCCACCCAGCTCACTAAGTTGCTGAGGCTAACTTTGAACTCATGATCCTCCCACCTCAGCCTCCTGAGCCATGCTACTGGGATTACAGTGTGGGCCACCATGACTGGTGGTTTTATCATTCTTTTGAAATGGTGTTGCTACCTTTAAATCTCATAAAAAATCATTTCAATTATTAAGGAGTTTGGAAGTTGGTGTTGTACAAAGTGTTTAGGGCCAATGAGAATAAGATATGTGTACGTCAAACACTTAACGCTCTCATTGGATTTCATATTGGGTCTTTTATGTCATCAAAGCTGTGGCACTAAATAAACAAATGCTGTGGTATTTGGTTATTCAGATTAGAATAAGTTAATTTATGATATACATATTGAATTCCCATGTTGTGTTACCTCCATAGTATGTGTTGGGATGTTAACATTGAACATAAGGCATTCTCTCTGAGGAGGACGTAGATAGGCAGATTGGGGGGTGTGATAGCAAGATTCTTATTTGCAAACACCAGAGATGAGCTAACTGAAGCAGGAAGAAGAATGTCTCAGAAGGTTATTAGGTAATAATTAGAATCACATGAACGGAAAATTGGAGAAAGAGGCTGTGGGATGAATCTGGAATCTTAGCTCCCTCCTGCACATCTGAGATCTATTCTTTAAAGAATTATCTACTGTGTTCTACCATATGCCAGGCTGTGTTCTAGGGGCTGGAGATAACAGGAGTGTCAGACGGAGAGTCCTATGTGCCCATAGAGCTTACATTCTAGGGTGGAGATGCAGAAATGAAGGAGTGAAATAAGTGAAATATAAAACATACCATTAACTACAGGTTAAAGAGAAAAAAAAAGTGGGGTGGAGGTGTCATTTGTCAAAAGACTTGAAAATCTTAGGGTAAAGAGGCAACTGTGTATCTGGGAGAACTGAATTCTTGAGGAGGAAGACAAGCAAGAGCTTGTCTGCATTTTCAAGGCAGAGTAAGGAAGTAAGCATGACTGGAGTCGATGGAGTGACAGGAAGGCTGGTTGTAAGAGATGAGCTCTGTATGGTAAGAGATTTGTGTGTGGAAATTGTTTGGGATCTTCTTGTATTTTGTAAAGACTTAAAAGAACCTGTTTTAGTCAGATTAGCAAATTTATACTATGGTAAACAAGGATCCCTCAATCTCAGAGGCCTAGACTAATAGACTTTTATTTCTTTGCCCACGATGGCTTAGCTGTGGCTGCGTTACAGCGGTGTTACTCTCGCATCCAGTCTCTCTGCACATTGTTCTCCCTCCAGCAGATGCAATAGAGACAATATGGTCAACCATGTGTTGGCTCTTAAAAGACTCCCCTCAGAAATGACACAAACAATTTGGGCTTCTGTGACATTGTCCAGAGCAAACCACATGACCAAACCCAGCATTAGTGGGGTAGGGAAATATAATCATCTGTTAGAGAAGGGTAATGGATATTTTAAACCATTGACACAATTTACCACAGAGCTATTGCAGAATAGTATAATCTGATTTGATGTTTTAGAAGCATCTTGGTGCTAAGAAAACTGCTGCAGGAAGGCTAGAACAGAGAGAATCATCAGTTAGTAAATGATTTCAACACTCCATGTGAGATTTCATGGTTGGACTGGGGTGTTAACAAGGGAGACAATGACAAGATGATTGATTCTGGATATAGGCTGAAGGTAGAGCCAACAGGATTGACTGTTGGAGGACAAAGGGAGGATTCAGGAATCCTAGCATTATGCAGCCTGAGAGTCTGGAAAGTTGGAGTTCCCTTTAACAGAGATGGGTAGGTGAGAAGGTAGATCAGGTTTCTTGGAGAGGAAAACTGGGAACACGATAAATTGAAACATTTATTATTGTACAAATGCAGACATTAAGAAAGTTGGGTGACTATTTGAGCCTGGTATTCGACAAATAGTGCTATCTCTGGACTAGCCCTGCTTTAAATCCTTGTGCTAAATCAGTGAAGCAAAGAGATGAAGGTTCTTGTCCTGATGACTACCCCATTCTAATGGTGGGCACTTAAACTTTAGTGGCCTTTTATAGGAGTTTATCATAGAAAACAAGAATAAAAGAGAGGAAGGAAGGATGAAGAAAGGAGTTATTAGAAAAATGTAATGATTAAACTAAAAATAATTGGAAATATAGCTGATGAAAAGGTAGAAGGCATTCCAACCTTTTAATGTTGGAATGTCCCAAAGGATTATCTTAAAGGAAAGTGTTTTGGTCTACCAAACCAAGGTGAAAATAGGGAATAGTATACTTGGATTATTCCCTATGATTAGAGAGAGGTGAGTTTCCTATGGGTGTTGAAAGCATTTCTTGAGGTACCAGATAGATCACAGAATGGTCAAGTTGTAAAAGTGGCACACAAATTAGAAGTAAAAATTTGAGAGCCATATTGAAGAAAATGCCTTCAAACCTGGATTACATTAGAAACTAAGATAATGTTTGGGTATGATTAAATCACATTTTTCTAAATTGCATGTTACCCTAGCATTCCATGTCTAATATTTGTCTAAGTACATATTTAGTTATTTAGTTAATCTGAATGTAGAATTCTTTGTCCCTAAGAGCTCTAGTTAGTCAGGGATCAAAGCACCACATTTTTCTTGTTTCACAGGACCACTGTAAAATAATAACTCATGAATAAGGCAGTGTGAAATCTATTTTTCCTTTCCATTACGAAATCCCATCTTATTATAGGAAATTGCTATTGGTAAAATTATGCTAAAAGGGTGTTTTAGGATTAAATAAATTGACCACGTTGCTTTACTGTCTCCCAGAATTTGTTTTGCAAAGTGCTGTCTTCTCTGACTATAACCAGCAGAAATGACTCAATGTGAGTAATTTAGTGGTTATATAATCATCAGATATTTCAGTTTCAATACTACTGCCTTAAGGTATCAAATATTTCAGTTTCAATCTCTCAAATATTTGCACAAAAATTGTTTCTCTATATCTATTACTTATTAGGTATGTAATAAATATTTGAGTATGTAATAAGTATATATGGATTAAAATATTAAAGAAAATTCTCAAGGCAAAAAGACAATTCAGATTTTCACCTTCCCCACCAATTTTGTCTTTTCTATTACTTACTGATTTATTAGGCTTAATTTACTGCTATACTAGATTTACACATAATGAGTACTAATGAGTTCATCTAACTCAGTTAAAATATGTAGACACTTAAAACCTAATTAGAATGAATGAACAAATAAATAAGTAAATGAATAAATAAGTTAAAAACCTACAGAAATAATTTGGGGAAGAAAGAGACTGACACAGGAATTTATATTTGTGCAAAATCAAAAGCACCATCTAATGTACTTACCCTGGAAATTAAAATTGTAAAATTCTTTTTAATCTTTTGAGCAATTAATTTTTGACAATTTTTCTTTTAATTTAATTAATCAGAGAGATGTTTGACAATGTCTAGTGCACTGCAGTTCCCAACTACTTAAGACCAATTATTTAGTGCTCTCTAATGCTGTTTAGGAGGAACATCCTATAGACGAGCTATTTCAATTCAAACCTGATTATCAAAGTTTTAGATATGAGTTTATTTGCATTTGTAATTATAGCTACTATTGTTAATAACCTAAAATTCATTTTAAAGAGTGTCCAATGTATTTATTATTTATAGAGTATGTGGATAAGAGACTTCCAGACTGTTATGCATTCATACATACATGTGTACACACACATGTAAATGAATAAATAGAACTTCTATTTTGGATAGAAAAATATTCTATGTATATACATTTATAAATATATAAATATCAATAATTCAATGATGATTTGCAGGAAGGTATTCCCGGGTGTTTCACATTTTTTTTTTCTGATAATCCAGGAGATTCTTTTAGACAGTGAGATTTAAAAAAATCACACTCAAATGTTAGTCTGAACAATAGACAGAAATCTAATACTTCTTTGAACTATTAACTATTGTCAGTGTTTTTTTTTTTTTCATCAGGTTTTGCAGACAATTCAGGATGCTATAAGAGAACACTATAGGCTTGGTGACTTATAATGAACAAAAATTTAAATTTCAGTTTTGAGCCTGGGCACTGCAGATAGAGTGTCAAAAGAGAGACCACGTCCTGGTTCCTTATGTTATTTATTTATTTATTTGTACTGGAGATTGAACCCAGGGGTGCCCAAATGCTGAGTCACATCTCCAATGATTTTTATTTTTTATTTTGAGAAACAGCCTGGTTATTGCTGAGGCTGGCCTGCGATTCTCCTGCCTCAGCCTCCAGAATCACTGGGATCACAGGCATGTACCACTGTGCTATGGTTCAACATAACTCTTCACAAAAGTCCACCATATTGTAATTTATCCATTTTTCTCTTCCACCAATATCTCCACTTTCTACTTTATTATAGATGCTGCTCCTACGTAGGTCGGAGGGGAAATGGACCCCAGGCAATCTCTATTGGAAAGAACTGTGATAAGTTTGGGATCGTTGTTCATGAACTGGGCCATGTGATCGGCTTTTGGCATGAGCACACACGACCAGATCGAGACAACCACGTAACCATCATAAGAGAAAACATTCAGCCAGGTGAGAGAGATTTTAGGGTGTGTAAAATTATTATGTTTTGTAAACAGTGTACAATATGTGGCAGATTCAATATGTTATTTGATTAAAAATCACTCTTGGAGGTTTTATATTTTTGATTTCTTCTTAGAGACTGAAATTTCCTGCATTTTCTAGGCTTTGTTTGTTTCTTAAGGTCTTAGCTGTTTTCTTTCTAAACGTCTGTACTTTTTCAAGAATGGGTGTGAGCTATGAACAATATACTAATATCATTAAATGATTATTTTATTTGAACTGTTTTTGTGCTTTAGATCTATAATTTATTTTTTAAGACTTAGAAAGAGCCCAGGGTTTGCCATGACATGAACGGTAACCACAGGAATCTACATTTATCATGTATAATTTCTGAAGAAAATTCCAGTGAAATGAGTCATTTCCAGGATAGTCTACATAGTTTCTTTGAGATTTTTCTCTTAAACTTGACTTTACCAAAGACAGACTATTAAGAATATTTTTAGTAGTTGAAATATAATTTAGAATTAAATTTTAATTTTATTTTAAGAATTGGTATATAATAGTTGCATCATTATAAAACTTTTTACTTAACTTTCACATTTGCAAAGATCAGTAAGTACATTTCCATCTCTACCCCCCCCCCCCCAAAAAAAAAAAATCTGTTGTTTGGAATTTTTTATAAGGTAGTATGCACTTTTAGCAAAAGTAAAATAAAAATGTGATCTTACTTTATTTTTCATGGGCAATTTTAAATTATCAATGTTGAAATTCTTATCATTTTCTATAATTCAGAGTTGCTTTCTTTATTTGCTCATTATATATTTGGTACCAATTAATGCAGAGGCACTATTAGACATTGAAAGTTACTGTCATGGAAAACACAAAACTTTTTATCTATACAAATGAGTTCAAGTGAGTAAGAAAAGTACCTGTCACATTGAGAATACTGCAGAAAAGAAGCAAAGTTGTAACAAACGTACCTTGGCAAATCCAGAGAGATGTCACACAAAAAACTGAAAGTTAGAAATAAAGTAGAAATATTTATTGCAGGTGGACCAGAAAAGTGGTCAAATTTCTAGGCTGAAAATACATGATCCTTTTCACTTAACTGTTGTGGTGGCACGTTGAACTATGAGTAAGAGTTAGTTGACAACTACCTGGGGAGGGTGGAGAATCTTTTCTGTGAATCTAAGAAATTTAGATTGTAACCTGTAGCTACTGGGGAATAAGTGAAGGATTATAAACAGAGAAAGTTAAGATTTTTTTATTTTATTTTTTTTTATTAGCTGCACATGACATTACAATGATCTTGGCAATTCATACATTTGAATCATTGGGGTAGAAACACACTCTATGACCAGTGTGATTCTGCAATCTGTACAATTAGAAAAATGAGAAATTATACCCCAAGATTTTTAAAAGAGGAATTCTGTAAGCTGTAATAAACATTAATTGGGGGTGGGGGAAGATGAGCCTAAAGTCAGGGAAACCTATTAGTCAAAATAGTAGTTTTTGAGAGGTGGCTGTGTTCTCAATTAGGGTAGGACAGGGCAAGAGGAAGAAGAGAGTCTTAAAATGTTTTAAGAGGAACATAAAGAAAGATCTGCAAAAGCTTTATCTTCAGACAACACGATGAATTGTGGTATCATCAACTGAAAAAAGAAACACTGGTGAAGAGGATTGGTTTTGAGAAAAAGAAATAAAAAATACTGATTCCATTCAACACATCCCTCAATTCAAAGACCCTTTGTATGATCCTCCTTTACTAGACAAAGGAAAGGTGAGTTTGGACTTTAGTATGTATCTGGAGATAAACATTTTGTAGTGGATTTGACCGTCTAGGGAAAAACTGAGGGAGAAGAGGAGAAAAGTGGAGCATAGAAAATGGAAAGCAATAAGATTTGAGCAACCTTTAGAAGAGTGTCCACCAGAAGGCCAAAGGTGTTCTCTAAGAGGTAAAAGAAAAAAAATCAGTGTAATGTGATGTTCCAGAAGCCAAGTGAGGAAATCAATTCAAGAATGACAAAGTGATCTGTAGAGCTGGATACTAAAGACAAGCAAAGAAAATTTATACTCCCCCAAATAGAAGCCCTGGCCTGAACCATCCATCAAAGTTCATCTTTATGTTTTATATCATTGAGAGAAAAACTTAGAGGAAATAATATTTCTGAAAATTCATTCAACTATCAAATAAATGAGAAGCTTGCTATTAACCACAGCTATTTTCTTCTATTTGCCAAATATTATGTGGACTCCTCCAAATACTCTTATAAAGTACATAACTTTCAAAAATGATTTTACCATTAAGAAGGTTTCTGATTCAACATAAATATTACCTAAAACAAGGAAAAATGTATAGGTATTATTAAGAAATAGATTATGATACCTTAACACCTGACATAGTAGTAGGAAAATTTTGATCAAATACTTTTTTAACTAAACATTCAGGTCAATTGAAAAGAAAAGATATTTCCAGAGATTTCTTAAGTAATTGGAACTACTGTATCAGAACTACTGTACCAGTCTGAAAGCATTCATGTTAGAGATTAGTTATCAACAAATTATGAGTTTCCCTAACTCAGAGACTTAAGATCAGGTATTTCTCAAGAGCTATGGGTAATAAAAACAAATGCTGGTTTCATATTTACATGCAAAATTGGTGACTATGATTAAGAGGTAAATTGTTATGAGGATCAAATTTATATTAGAAGATACCTTCCAGAAAGAAGCTACCATTTATTTTAATTGTTAAGTGTGAGTCGCTCTGTTTCTATCACCGATTCTCCCCTTCTTGCAAGAAGCAAGTCTAATTTTCTTTTGTTTGGATTGTATGAGGCTATGTTCTTTTTAACTAGCAAACTCCTCTGTTACACATGTTTAAGTGATAAGTTATATTCAGGGAAATGCATTTCTGAAGTTGGTTATGTTTCACTTTCAGAAAATTTATGAAATTCTGCTCTAGCTAGAGAATCTATTCTCAGATTGTTTTCTAAATTGAAATCTTGCTGATGGTCACAAAATTTGGTCTATAGCTTTTTGAAAATTCCCTCTAGAATGGGATATGCTATAATATGCTGAAAATTCCTTAGGAAAACAAGAATTTGAATGAAAATTTAGGATAATTTTTAAGAATGTTTGCTAACACACATAGACACAGCATAGATTTGTGGAATATATATTTCAATATATAGGTTAGATAATTAATTTAAAATTATTTATGGTGTGAATTCATTCAAAGATGGACTAAAACACGTTAGCCTAGAACATGGGTTCTATGGATCCAAGTGTTTCTTTCATCCCTAATGCTCAAATGAGTATTGGTTTCATCATCATGTAAGAGAGATGTTATATTGTGAAATCACTAGATTTCTTTACTGCCTTTTGGAAAACTTTTTATTTAATATTTTTATGTTTAATAGAAATATGGCATGGGACTAAAAACCTAGTTATAATAATGGTATAATAGTTTCATTCCCAGCCCTATATGAATTTGGAATTCCAGTACTTTACCTTTAAATAAAATGTTTCAAAGCTTTGTAAATTACATAAATAACATGACTTGTATCATCTTCGACTGATTTAATAGTGAAAAGAGAATCATTGAAATGTAAACTCTCTTGAAAGAAATTCTTTGGTTTGGGAACTATTGATGTAGACCCATGTATTTAACTCTTTTTTTTTTTTTTTTCCAAATTTCAGGAAAAAATGTTGCCTAAAAAGGTACACACAGGCAGTCGAAAATCTCTTAAAATTGAAGATGTCCTAAAGTTAAGATAGCAGATGTGCAAAGGAAAAAAAAAAGTTCTGAAGCATATTATTCTTGATTCAAAAGCTGTCAAAGTAGAAACTTCTTTTTCTCAAGGGGAACCTTGTTTTATTTTTGAATGAAAGTAGATTTGCTATTGTTTTATCACCAATGATGAAGTCATGTAGCTATAACCTCAGAGTTGTGTTTATACTAATATTGTTTTTGTATCTTCCCACAGCGTTTCTTAGAAAGGATCTAAAGCAAATAGATAATTTTTGTGGGTCCTGGCAAATGTAGTCATGAGAAAAAGATGGGAAACTCATTAAATAAAAGCATAACTTTACAATCACTTCTACTGTACCCAGAGAAGCAGTATGATTTTAAAGAAACAAATATTATGTGGTGTTAACAAGTATACACAGAAAACAAACCCAAAATATGCTTCTGGTAATTTCCTTGCTGCAGAACTGAACTCATTGTTCAAATTCAATTCTTTTGCAACTTGCTCTTTTAATATGATATCGGAGTGCAAATGATTTTTGCACACACCTGGGAATTGGTATGTAAATACAATCAGCAAAAAGATCAGTCATTTAGTCAAAAGCAGATGCAGGTCTAGGAAGTGCTCTTATGTTCTTTTAGTTAAAAGGCTTCTGTGCTTTTGTTTATCCCTGATTCATAGGTCAAGAGTACAATTTTCTGAAGATGGAGCCTGGAGAAGTAAACTCCCTTGGCGAAAGATACGATTTTGACAGTATCATGCACTATGCCAGGAACACCTTCTCAAGGTTGGAGTCTCAGGTTATACCTTTTGACTTTTAATCCCTTTCTCCATGTGGCCTCTCACAAAGCTATGTTTGATATTAGAACCAGACCATCTTCCAATATTGCTGCCTCCTGTCAAAAAGAAAGTAGAAAAATAACGGTTAACATTCATAGCTAATAGCAGGCATTCATTTAAAAGACATTTTACATTACCTATCCAATGTATAAATTTAAAGTGATCATTTTAAAATGATTTAAACAATTTTATATTCATAAATTGTAAAAGAAAGTGCAATTAAAACCATTACCAAACTAATCGTCACATTAAGTTGGCAAAGCATTGCTTAATGAAATTCAGGCATTCCTAAAGCAACAGGTTACTTTATTGTTGAGTTTGGATTACATTCTCTACAAAGAGTGTTTTGTAATGTGGATTTTCAGTTTTAGTACTCAAGTACCATTTATGGTCAAAAATTGATATTACTAGATGGATCCTCAAAGAAGAAGGTTAAGAAGATATTTTACTTCCACGTAGTTGAGAATTACAGTTCATCTATTGCTAACCTTAAATTTATTCCATTAGTAACTGAATGCTGTTTTTAAAGAGGTAATAAATTTGGGTTTTGATCTACTTTACTCTAAAGATGATGCCATCAAGCAAATAGTTCCCAGGTAAGGATCTGGAAGAATTTAAGCACTGTCTTCCTTCATCCTTTTTTTCCATTGACACCAATTTTACACTAACCTTCCTGCCCATTTCCATTCATTCTTCTTGCCCACTTATGTCCATGTCACATTTCATTAACATCTATTTTTAAAAACCAGATTAGGAAAAAGAGAAAAATATTCAAATGTATTCCTATGCTCTAAAAACAAATTTCTTGGTAAAAAGTAAAATACATGTTAATGACCCCTTAATACATGAAAACATTTTAAAATTATCTGGGCAAGGTGGCACATTCCTATAATCCTAGCAACTTGAAAGACTGATGCAGGAGGATCATGAGTTCAAAGCCAGCTCAGGAACTTAATGATGCCCTGAATGCTGAATGCTCTAAATAAAATATAAAAAGTGCTGGAGATGTCACTCAGTAGTTAAGTGCCCCTGGGTTCAATCCTCAGTACCAAAAAAAGAAAAAATAAATCTTTTTAAAAAGTCTGAATGTCAAAAATTTGAGTGTTGACTATATTTAACATTCATAGATTTAAAAGTCATTACCTTCTGAAGATATATAATATTTATTTTTGTGCAAGCGTGATAACTATCCAGATACTAACTGTTCATTCCTGGATTTGAATTTAAGTTTTTGTAGATATGTACCCAGAAATTTGGCCTGAAATTAACCCTAAAATTTTATTTTTAGGTCAATGCTTGAAATTCATTTTTACATGTAAATATGTAAGAAGTTGATCGTTGCATCCCAGTGCATCCAAGACACCGTTCTCATGCTGTTGAATTAGATTATTTAGAATTAACCTGAGGTTTAATGCTTTAGAGAAGAGGAGGTGAAAGAAATTTATCTCCTCTGTCCTTCATAGGATGAATCTTTACTAAGGATTACCATATATAGCATATTAGAATACTCTCTTAGTCTGTACTACTTTGATATTACATTGCATTTTCCCCCCAAAAACTACAATGTTCTTGCTGCCTTCTGTCAATCACCACCAACCTATCTTTGTATGGTATGACAACTAGCTTTGACCTATGATTCTGTTTCAAAACTTCATTCTTGTGGATATTCAGATTTGTGACACCATTTGTTTAAAAAAACTATCTTTGCCCAAATGAGTATGGTTATGGCACTCATGTTAAAGATAATTTGACTTTATATATGAAGTTTATTTCTGGCCCCTGTTATTTCATTGGTCCGTAGCTCTGCAATTATGCCAGTACCACATATTTCGGTTGCTATAGCTTTATAATATGTTTTGAAATCATTCCTCAAAAGTCAAAGTATGAGTTCTTCAAGTTTATTTCTTTTCTTAAAATTATTTCAGCTTTTCATTTTCTATTGAGGTTATACATAATTTCTAAAGTGTTTTTTTAAATTCTGCAAAAAAATCTCTTTGGGATTTTGATAGGGATTGTAGACTGGGTAATATGATATGTGAACAAAGAATATTTCTATTTTATGTGTCTTCTTTAATTTATTTTTTTAAATATTTATTTTTTAATTTTTAGGTGGACACAATATCTTTATTTTATTTTTATGTGGTGCCGAGAATCGAACCTCACGCATGCTAGGCGAGCACGCTAACACTTGAGCCACATCCCCAGCCCCTCTTCTTTAATTTCTTACCACATTGTTTTTTTTAGCTTTCATTTCTTTGGTTAGTTTTATTTCTCAGCCATTTTTTTATGCTATCATAAGCAGAACTTTTCCACTTAATTTCTTTTGCGATTTTTCTGTGTTACTGCACAGAAATGACTTTTGTATATTGATTTTGTATCTTTGTTTCATTATTAGTTTTAACAGTTTTTGTAGAGTATTTATGGTTTTACACATAAGAACATGGCATCTGTAAATAGAAATAATTTTTACCTTTCCAATTTGGCATGCATCCTATTTATTCTTTCCCTTTCTCTTTATTATTCTATTATTACTCTATTATTCTCTCCCTTTCTCTTTCCTTCCTTCCTTCCTTTCTTCCTTTCATCCTCCTCCTTACCTCTCTGTTTTTTTTTTTTTTTTTCTCTTTCGTTTTCTTCTTTCTCTGGCTAAGACTTCTAGTACTGTGTTGAACAGAAGAGGTGACAGACGATAGGTATCCTTGCCTTGTTCCTGATCTTAGTGGAAGAGCTTGTTTTCCACCATTGAATATGATATTAACTCTAGGCTTTTCTCATGTGACTTGTATTATGTTGAGATAAATTCCTTCTATTTTTAGTTTATTGAGTATCATGAAAACAATCTCATCATGATAAATACTTTGTCATGTAGAATCTTCACAAATGCTTTTTTTTTGTTTTTATATCAACTGAGATGCTCACAGAATTTTTGTTCTTCATTCTGCAGATGTAAACACATAAAGTTTTATAATTTCTTCTGTTCATAACGCTTGTAGATTCTGAAAAGAGTCAATAAAAGTTTCAGTTGTTTTCAAGAGTGTAGATCAATAGCAGATCTGGGAGAAACAGGGCTGGACCCATGAGGTTTTAATGTTCATGGATATTTTGTAATGTAGATGTTTGCACACTGGAAAATTCTAATTTTTTACTAAAAAGAGAGTTGTAATATTTTGCAAAATTTTATTTAAAAACATGGCTATTTTTCTCTTTAATTGTAGCTAAAGTGAATGAATAATGGATCCTAGTTAGTATACCCCCAACTGGATGTGACTCAGGCCTGTTCATAGGATTTCACTGAGAAGATCCATTAAAAGTCTGTCTTGCTCAATGGCCAGGATGTAGGGAAGAGAATTTTTAACTTCTTTATCATGACAAAGAAAGAACACAAGAATAAATCACTTAACCTCTTTTTGAATAATTACTTCTTTAGGCAGAATGAGGCTTTAATGTCCATGGATATTTTGTAATATATATGTTTTCACACTGGAAAACTCTTATTTTTCAATAAAAGATTTCATAAAAATATTACAAAGATATGAGATGAAATATTTTCACCTCCAAAATATCATTGACCATTTAAAATGGAATCATGTTTTTGAAAGCTGGAAAATATTAAAAGTTTTCAAATATTATTAATTTATTTTTGAAATAGAAAATAGTGACATTAGTATGGAAGTACTTCATAAATTGTAGTACTTTATTAATTTAGAAATAGCTTTTCTTAACACTACCTGGTAATTTAGTCTTTCATTTCCGTTGCAGTGTCCTATCCAGGGGAGAATCTTACAACTATGTGCAAACTCTCACTTTTAATGATCAGTTCCCACAAATCATTAATCTTCACCCACATCTCAGGTGGTATACACATAGGATTTTGTAGATGCTTGGATCTGGTTTTAAAGAGTTCCACTGTCCTTATTTGAGTTATTCAAGTTAAATCTAATGTTCATCACTCTTTCTTTTATTAAAAACTAGAGAAGTTAGTCTTAAAATACTCAGAGATCATATTACTCTTCTGTTTACCTACTTTCTACAACTTTCTATAGATTAACAGTTGTCCTCCAGGTCAGAGTTAAATTCTCTGGCTGGTGCTCAAACTTTCAAGATCCTCTCATCTCCGGGCTATTGTGTTTCTTGTTCTTTCTCTTGGGGAACACTCTACTCTCAGTTACACATATAGCTCTGACCTTCACTTCTTGTATGTTTGGTTAAAATGTCAAATCCCAAGTAAGTTTTTTTTTTTTTTTTTCAATCATCCTCTTAAAAAGCCGGCTATCATAATTGCACAATCAATATCCAAAATTTTACCTTTATATTTTCTCTCTAGCACTATCACTACCTCAATTATGAATATCTTGTTTAATGCCTTTCTCCTGACATTAGTCTGTTAGAATCATGAAGGTGTGACTTTTTGTCTGTTTTATTTGATGTATAAATCCAGACCTAAAACAGTGCTTAGTAAATATCTCCTAATGGGAGAATTAAATAGACCTGAAAATGTTGTTCTGTTCAAGGAACGCCCTATTGGTTATCCTAATTTGAAAGATACCTTATGATTCTATTTCTTAAATTTATGTACAGTTCTTCCACTTTTTTTTTAATCCATATAAACAGACTCCATACTTCTCAACTCTTTGGAATAATCTCTCAGTCTATTTTGACTTTTAAGCTTACTACTTCTTTTTGAGTTATAAATGTTTGATATATATTGCAAAATTAGAATGCAACTTTAGTGCAGTGTAGCCAGAATATTAAATGATGCATATTAAGAAAAATAGCAATTCTCCTACCACAACCTTGAGTCCAAAATAACTCATTATCTGTAGTTTAGCCTTATTAGGACATTGATCAAGCTATTTTTGCTTATTTATTTCATAGTGAAAAAAATTTATATTATATATATGTGTGTGTATATATGTATATTTACATATGCAAAATTACAATATTTTTGCTTTGCATGGTCTTATCTAAATCTCAGCACTCTGTTTTTCCTTGTTCTTGTAACATATGTTATAATAATACTGAACTTCTCAGTTCTTTAGGTTAAATTAGTTTAACTAAAAAGAAATTAAGTTTTCATTTAACTCTTACAATTTCAGTAGCTTCAATTGTTTTTTTTTTTTTTTTTTTTTTTTTTGAGGTTGCTCTTTTTCTTATTTAATGAGGAAGAATTGTTTTCCAACCTGGTAATCTGTGTGGGAGACCCAAATAAAAGTCTAGTTGGAGACTAAAAAGTATTTCATATTATTACAAACATATGATGTACATTTCTAAGAAAAAAGTGGATGTTATCATTGAACGTGAGGCACACACATTTAACATGAACCTTTTTGTCCTACCTTGATGAAAGTACTTTGAAAGCCTCACACTGCATAAAATTCAAACTGGTGTATCTCCCCTATGATTAAAATTGAGTGTGGGGGGAAAAAAAACAGCCTGGTGTTTGTTAGGAGTTTTGATTTGGTGACGTAGGTGTGGTTTGCTTCTGTTTTTTTGTTTTTTTTTTTTCCAGGGGGATGTTCCTGGATACCATTCTCCCCAACCGTGATGATAATGGCATACGTCCGGCAATTGGTCAGCGAACCCGATTAAGCAAAGGAGATATTGCACAGGCAAGAAAGCTGTATAGATGTCCAGGTATTGCACAGAACAAACACAGAGGCATGCCTAGGCTTCACTATGCTCTTCCAGATGCATAAGCCAGAATTTAACTCTTGTCCTTCTCTGTGCTGGCAAAAGGTGTATATAGTTCAAGTGATCCAAAATGAGATAGAACAGAACTCTGGATATAAATAGAAACAGGTTGCTTGAAATCAAATGGTATATTTTATTTCTTTTAGCTTTATGAGTAAGAGTCAAATAGAATGATCATCTGATCACTGTTAAGTAGTATCATGATTTTGTAGCTAAGTGCTATTTCTTGCTCACAGAAAAAGATTATCTTTTCAGAATGAGATCCTGGAGGATCTTTCCTTGCCAGGAGCATTATTGATGGTGTATAAACTAAAGTTTTACCAGTAGGAATTTATTTTTTTTACAAAAAAAATAATTTCTAAGCATGTTGCTAGTGAATTACTGAGTAAGTGTATAAAATGATAGCTAGACGTTCATGATTTCAGTATGGGCAATGGCATTATTGTATTGATATTTCTGCTAAAAGGAGTTTCCTCTCCATTTAAATCACATTTGCTAAGGAAAATTGTGAGAAACTATTTTTTCCCAATTTTATTTTTATTAGTTTAAAAAAATTTAGGTCCATTAAATTTTCAGAGTAAAGTTGAGGTCTTTGAAATTTAAGTGAGTACATAAAAACTTTTGTATCTTAATGATTCAATATTGAAAACTTCAAAATTTTTCTATTGCACATAAACATTTCTGTATCATATCTACAGATATTTCTACTTAATGTTAATTAATTCATTTACTTCATGTTTAGGTTAAATTCATATTTGAATAATGCCTTTTAAAATATTTATGTAGATATGTAAAATACATACATCTGTGTGGTGCTGTTTTTTTTTTTTACTACAGTTTATGATAGGAAAGATAAATTTATAAGACAGTTACCAGTTGGAAAAAGGATATGGTAATTCTTTACTAATTTCTAGCAACATTGGACATATGCTTTTGTACTTTTAAAAAGAGAAAGATGATGTGATTAGTCATAACTACATAAATGAATTCCTTGAAAATAATCTCATTTGGTTGTCTCTTTAAATGTGTGTGTGTGTGTGTGTTTGTGTATGTGCATATATATAAAAAGCTCTGTGAGATACATTTGCACATTGACTTAGAAAGTCAATGAGAATACAAAAATAATTGGCACCATAAATTATGGCACTATAATTTAATTTTCAGCCTATGGATCTTCATATTTTAGTTATTAACAGAACTATCATTACAATTTTCACTTGAGATTTTAATTGTATAAAATGCATCAGTGGGCCATAATTAACATACACACTCTTTTGTTTAATATAGTATATCCACACTCACAAAAGCACTATGATCTATGAGAAAGACAATTTGTATTTCTAATGCAGTACACAAAGCAAGTTGCTGTATTACAGCTTATGAATTTCACAGAACAAGGGAGAACTAAAAGATAAATGTTACACTGCATGCTCCTTTGGAGTTTGCCTTATTCTTACTCTTCTGTTAGAAATTGCTCGTCAGCAGAATTCATAAAATATATTTGACTACTTTTCTTGCCAACATTGCTTCTCATCTGGTTATACTCAAAACTCTAGTAGAAGTACATTTTATAGAGCTATTTCTTAGAGTTTAATCTTGAAAGAAACACTGACCTGGTATAGAGTTAGATTTACATGGTTGTGGCTTTTAGGGTCTGTGATAAGTGGTAAGTGATATGACTGCCTGCAAATACTGTTGCTCCTTCTTAAATAATATAGAGAATGGTTTAAAATTTTTATCAGATAATGAACAGTATATATTTTTATTTTTTATTTTTTTTCCATTGTTTGCATGATTCTTCTTAAAATTCTCATTCTTTTTTTTATATTTTTAATTTTTTATTGTGGGTTGTTCAAAACATTACAAATTTCTTGACATATCATATTCCACACTTTGATTCAAGTGGGTTATGAACTCCCACCTTCACCCCATACACAGATTGCAGAATCACATCAGTTACACATCCATTGATTTACATATTGCCATACTAGTGATATGACTGCCTGCAAATACTGTTGCTCCTTCTTAAATAATATAGATAATGGTTTAAAATTTTTATCAGATAATGAACAGTATATATTTTTAATTAAAACAGTAACAGTTACATTTATGGGAATATATAGGTGACATAAACCTTGTAATCCATTATTATATTTATATATGCTCAAAGCATAAATTAAATGGATGTATGAAACCTTGATTTTATTATCAATGCATACTTACCATGAAAAAGCTCAAAATAAGACTAAAACTAGAATTTTAAGGCGATGCTCCGAAGGTAAATTATAGTTTAGAATTGTTTTCATTGTGATTTCTTTCTCTTAGTTCTATAGATAGACAAGAAAGTCTTCTTATGAATTACTGTGTAAAGAAAAAAGATGATCCCTTACAGCCCTGGTACTGATGTAGGATACATGCTGGATCACATGGTCCCAGAAGGGGTATGGGAAGGGAAGGTGGAGATGCTCAGCATTGGGATAAGATAGATTCCTGGATTCTGCTGCCAGACGCTCAATCCTGTGTCCTGATGACTACCAAGCCTTTCAAGCAGTAAGGCATCTTAAAGGACACCCACCAAAGCTACTTGCCTGCTATCATAGTACTTTGTATCCTGTATGCCATTCGAACAAGAAACATCCAGTGGGGGTAGAGACTAGGTCATTGTTAAACTCTCCTTTATCCTATCAATTAGCAGTTTGCTTGTGAAGGTGATCCTTTCTGGGATATATGAGTTATAGCATATCTGCTCTTGTACATGATTAATTTGTTCTCTTATTCTCTCTTTTGGGGCCTCTTTCTTACTTTTCCTTGAGATTCTCATTTTCTAGGGGTATTCTCTACTTTGCTCTAATATTTACATTACTTTCCTTTTCATCTTTAAAAAGTTTTACTCTTCTCGTACAATCACTGGTATTAATCAGCATTTTTTCTTCATTCAGTTTTTTTCTGTAATCCCATAACCTTTTTGCTTGTAATTACTTGGTACTTGGACCATCTATAAATGGTAATATTTTCTCCATAGTCTTTCATAGCTAAGTCTGTCAAGCATGTTAGCCAGTTTTCCATTACTTTAACAAATGCTTGCGGTGATTATTTTATAAAGAGAAAAGGTTTACTTTTGGCTTATAGTTTTAGAGGTTTCAGTCTATGATTTATTGGCCTCATAGATTTTGGACTTGTGGTGAGGTAGCACATTATGGCAGGGATGTGTGGTGGAACAAAGCTGCTCACCTCATGACCAGGAAGTGAAAAAGAAGGAAGAAGAAAGGACTGTAGTCCCACTATCACTTTCAAGGGCACACTTTCAATGACCTGAAGACCTTCCACTAAGCCCCACATCTTAAAGGTCCCTCTCTTCTCAAATAGCACCATGTTGGGGACCAATCCTTTACCACAAGGGCCTTTGAAAAACACTAAAGATCCAAACTGCAGCATCAAGCAGCATAGTAAAATTAAGAAAAAAAAGATATAAAATAAATTCATATGTAACAATAAGCTTTTGAAGATTAGAATCTCTCTTGTAATATAGACATGTATGTATATTCACACATCAACACAAATAACCCGTGTCCACAAATTCACTTTTGATATGCAAACAACACATATACAGAATGTATATATGTATAGATGTATGTACATTTATGTGCAGGCTGAAGGAATGGAAGGTCAGTTTCAACATGCATCGGTTTGATTAGGAGGAACTTTCAAAGTGTTTTAGCACTCATTTCATTTATTTCTAAAGTTGATATCGGTGTCTTTTTTAGTTACCTAAACTATAGTTATTTAAGTACTATAATTCTGTGATTCTCTAAGAATGCAGATAAAAAAATTCTTCTATAATTGCTTTTAGATGTATGATTTTTGGCTAAAATATACTGTCAACACTAAAAAAAAAAATTCACTTAGTCATTTTTCTCTATTTATTCGTGGATATATCTATTCATCTATCAGCAAACCTTCCCTTTTCAGTGGATGGTAGCACAGGATCCCCAGTAGCCCAAGTCAGACAGTGGGATCATCCTCACTCCATTCTTTTGTCTGCCTCTCTTCCCATGCCTACTCAATCTCCACCCTTTTATTTCCACTCTCTAGAATCTCAAATTCCTACAGTGAATATTTTGGGTACCATCCCCTCTTGTCTGATTGCTGGCATGCCTCCTGTTTATCTCTTGCCTTTACTCATCTATCCTTTCAGTTTTCTGGCCATGCTGCTGTCCACGTGGCATTTCAAAATGCAAGTCTTTTCACATGCATCTTCGGATTAAAGGTTAAATTCCTTCTCCACGCTTCTTTCAAAGTTTGTCCCACATCTCTTCCCTCATCCTCCATGTCTAGGTACTGATTTCACTAGAATTTAGTTTCTCACCCTTACGTCCATTAGCCTCTGTGGTATTCCTTGCTTTGGGTCTCTTCTGTCAGACAGAACTACCCATAACTGCCATCTGTTGAAATCCTGTTACTTAAAAATGCCCTGGTCTTCCAGGACTCCTGCAGTGGTAAATGAGTTATTTGATCCTTGTCTTTGTATCTTACTCTCATAATTATCAGTTTATTTGTTATTTCCCACACTCACTGTAAGCTCTTCAAGCATCAGAGTTGGGCTTTTCTTCCTGGTATCTGGAATCCAATATAAGTTAGGAGCTCAAGAAACTTGAATGAATGAATGAATGAAACAGCTTTCATATGTGATGGGAACTGCACTGGATGTTACAGACATGGAAGGGAACACAGAATTTATATACAGATAGCAAGGGAGGGACTTCAGAGGAGGGCAGTAGAGCATGGTGAAGAAGTAAATCTAATCCATAAAGGATGCTAGAGTCAGGAGTAATTGATCTGCTGTGTATTGGATGAGAAAGGCTTCCAGGAGCTGATAATTGTGCCCTGACTTGAAGTGTGTTTAGGCTTGGCTGTGCAGTTCCTACAAAATATATTTTAAAAATTTTCAACAACTTATCCTACTATAATTTCTCAGATGATTACTTAGGATTCTTTTTTTTTCTATTTCCTTTTATGAAAATCATTTTGAACCAAAATTTTATTTATGATGTTTTAAAAATTTTAAGGAGCCCAGAATTTATGTATGATTTAAAAACATTAGGTACTACTAAATTAATCAGATGTTTTTATTACTTCTTTTAAGCTAGAATTTATCAATTTTTTAGAGACTGGTTAATTCAAATTATTTTGTAGTTGTCTGTTTTCATTAGCTTTAGTAAAATACAGGATATGGAAAAGAAGATGATTTTAAAATTTGGTATTTGTTGGATGCTATGGACATTTGACAGGAAATATATTTGTAGATGGATGTGCAGTCCTTTGTTTGATCATGTTATTAAAAGATGAGAATCTGTAATTATTTATCAATAATGCACAGTCTAAATGGTGCTTATACCAAAATTTTCTGTTAGAAGAAGGAAGATATGTATAGGTTATTTAATTGAAATGTAAGGTAAGTCATATGATAGACTTTTATATTTAACTTCCAAATTGTGTTTTAAAGTAATGTTGATTTAGAATACTCATCATAATAATTTACCTCTTTATATTTTTGAACGCTTTTATTTTTCCAAATATACTCAGAAATTCTTAGTTGTAGTTTAAAGACACATTTTTACCATACAGTTCTAGTCTTTCTGCCTGTGGTAGAAGTGCTAAGATGATTCAGGGCATAGTAACATTTGACCCCTACAAAACAACCTTATGAAGTCTATGTGAACAAAATAGACGCAAGAGAAAACTGGATCTAAGGCTTTTGAACTTTGAGTGTGATGATGTAATTAGGAAGTGACAATGTCAGTACTTACATTTGTCTTCTCATCCACAAACCTTGTTGTCAATGTGTAGACTGAGTGATAGAATTGAATGGTGCCAACTATTCTTTGTTAATTTTTAAAATTACTTGAATAGTAAAGATTTTTTTTTATAACTGAACATAACTCAATTAATGGCTAAAATGTCATGTGTAGTAGGGGATCTTTAACTTGGAACAATCACATTTATTGAGGAATGTTTAGAAACTTTAATAATAGATGTTTGTACTTTTTTTCCCTTTGTACTAGGGATTGAATTCAGAGGCAGTTAAGGACTGAGCCACATCCCAGCCCTATTTTGTATTTTATTTAGAGACAGGGTCTCACTGAGTTACTTAGCACCTTGCTTTTGCTGAGGCTGGCTTTGAACTTGTGATTCTCCTGCCTCAGCCTCCTCAGCCTGGCTCCGTACTTCTTGAATTATAAGCAGACACTATGTCATAAACACTTAATTTTTAAATCGAATGTTATAATTTGTTTTGTTTTTAAGACAGTCTCTTTTCATTCAGGACATAACTGTATAAATTTGTTAATTATATGTATGTTTACATATACATACATATTATAAACATATATGCATGTGTATATAAAATTGTTTTAATTTCACTTTAGGAAATACTGTCTAAGCATTCTCTGTGGCTTAAGGGGCTTTAAATCATTACAGAATTTAGTTTTAAACTGCTGAGAACTTTAAGTTTTTTCACTGAAACATTCTACTCACAAATTATGTGGCACCTGATAGAATCTTAACACATTTTCGTTTTTCCAAAACCTTCTTACATTATGGCAATTGTCAAGTGCCCTAGATGATTCATAGAACAGTGTTAAATTATGTATTTTGACCTTGAGTATTTTCATTTTGTACTAAAGTTACTTTTATCTGCCTGTTCATCAAAATAAACATTGCGTACTGCTTCTTGAAATTTATTTTGTTGTGCAAACATAATATATCTTTTCTGAATATTTATATTGTAACAACCTATTTTTACAGCTCTGTTTTATGTTTTCAGAGTCATTATCTTTCTTTATTTAACACAAGATTTCCAGGACCATTTATAATTTATTGAGGATTTGATGAGACAAGAGTTCACCTGCTGGTAGCTCTGACTCTGTAATATGGTAATATCTCAGTTCTGATTGCAGTCTCCTTCAGAAGGAAGGAACTGTTATTTCAGATTGTTGAGTGAAGGTTATAAAGATGACAGGCTGCACCAAAGAGATCATTCTTGAATTAGGGATCCTTGAAACAGCCTAGGTCGTGTGCTTTATACCATGTCTCGAAAAAGCACTAGCAATACCCACAATAAAATGGTGCAGATCACCAACTTTGCCAAATACAGTTCTTGATTATGTATAGTTGATCAGTTTTTATTTCCAATGACTGATAATTATTTTCAAGTAACAAGACAAGCTTAGTAGGAGAAAATATAAATTGCTTTTATAGCAATTTTCTGCTTATGATCACAGAAAGACAAAGTAAAATGTTTAGATATTTTGGAACACTTGAATTTTCCATGATATTTTTAATCTTTCAAAATTTTTTATTTTGGAACATTGAACTTGACATTTTGATATCACCTTTACTGAAGATTTATTAGTTATCATTTACAATGTTTTCAACCTTGAATGGTATTTACTGTTAACCTCAATTCACTAGAATATACTAATAGACTGTTCCATGTGGTCCCAGAGCAGCATCAACTTGGTCTCTACTAGCCTCATTTAGTAGAGATTGGCTACTGGCTTCTTGAGAAAGAATGAGAAAATGTCCTATGAGGGAGAACTTTATAAATGTCAGTTATTTATTTCATAATTCTATTTTATAGTTAACTCTAGTGATGAGATTAAGTATACCAAAATTCTGGTAAAAGATATTTTAAAAGAACTTAGGAAAAGTCTTTTATAAAATAAAAATACATAGACTTATCTAAGACTTTGTTAGTGATACCTACATTCTTCATAAAAATTAAAGAATAATCTTATGTATTCTTTCCTTTCAGCATGTGGAGAAACCCTCCAAGAATCCAATGGCAACCTTTCCTCTCCAGGATTTCCAAATGGCTACCCTTCTTACACACACTGCATCTGGAGAGTTTCTGTCACCCCAGGGGAAAAGGTAATTCTATTTAGTCTCATATACTGAAAAGGTTCATCATTTTCCAATATAATTTGCTTTATCTTTTGTTCTTCTTTCATTCAAGTATTCAGAAAAATAATAATGGATATTGCTCAAACTCTGGGAATTTTTGGAAGATATAATTTAAAAATTTGTAAATGCTATAAAAGGGTTGATATAATAAAATTGTATTCTCAGACATGAAATTAATTTCAAAAGCAGCATTAGAGAGATAACTATGAAAATATTAAGAAATAAACACCTACATGTTCAATTAAGGCAATTATAATAAAACTTAGAAACTATTTTCAACTATTATAAAAAAAATCACTAAATACCAAACCTGTAACATGCAACTAAAGCAGTACTTTGAAGAAAATTCATAGGCTTAAATTTTTACATTAGAAAAGGATAAGACCCCAAATCAATGAGCAAGATATCTACATAAAAGGACTAGAAGAAAGAGCAGTAAAATTAAAGGAAAGATATTAAGGAGGGAAATAATAAAAGATAAACTAATGTTATGAAAATAAAGTGGTAAAAAATATGAACAAAGTTGCTAGTTTGAATTGATTTTGAAAACGGAAATAAATGGCAAGAGATCAAGAAGAATTACAGAAAGCACAATTATTTAATATTTTCAGAGATTATTGTACAATAGATGCTTTAGACACCAAAATGAAAATAAAAATATTTTGAACATTATGCCAATAATTTAAAAGTTGTTGGATGTGGGCAAATTCCTACAAAATTTTACCATGTTTTTACTCAAAAGAATTAAAAGCAACAAATAATTCTGTAACCATTAAAGAAATTGAATTACTAGTTATCTCAATTATTAGGGTTTTTTTTTCAGCAAAGAAAAGTCATGTTCAAAGTGCTTCATTAGTAAAATAAACCCAACACAGAAGGAAGAAATAAACATAATCTTATATATATATAAATTCTTCCAGGAGATAAAGATGTACTCTTTTTTAAATTTTTAAAATTTTATTCATTCTAATTTGTTATATATGACAGCAGAATGTGATTCAATTCATATTACACAACTAGAGCACAATTTTTTATGTCTTTGGTTGAACACAAAGTTCATTAGTGTTTTCAAACTTGTACTTAGGGTAATAATGTCTGTCTCATTCCACTGTCTTTCCTACCCCTTGTCTCCTCCCTTCTCCTCCCACCACTTTTCCCTATCTAAAGTTAGTCTATTCCCCTGATGCCCACCCCTCATCCCCATTATAAATCAGCACCCTTATATCAGAGAAGACTTTTGGCATTGGTCTTTTGGGATTGGTTTACTTCACTTAGCATGTTATTCTCCAACTCCATCCATTTACCTACGAAATACCATGATTTTATTCTCTCTTATTGCTGAGTAATATTCCATTATGTATATATGCCACATTTTTTTAATCCATTCATCCATTGAAGGGCATCTAGGTTGGCTCCACAGTTTAGCTATTGTGAATTGTGCTGCTATAAACATTGATGTGGCTGTGTCCCTGTAGTATGCTGTTTTTGAATCCTTTGAGTATAGACAAAGGAGAGGGATAGCTGGGTCAAATGTTGGTTCCATTCCAAGTTTTCCAAGGAATCTCCATACTACTTTCCATATTGGTTACACCAATTAGCAATCCCAACAGCAATGTATAAGTGTGCCTTTCCCCCCACATCCTCACCAACACTCATTGTTGTTTGTAGTCTTAATATCTGCCATTCTGATTGGAGTGAGATGAAATCTTAGAGTAGTTTTGATTTGCATTTCTCTAATTGCTAGAGACTGGAAATCCATATGAAATCCAAAATGAAATTAAGCCCCTATCTCTCACCGTGCACAAAACTCAACTCAAAGTGGATCAAGGACCCAGGAATTAAACCAGAGACCCTTCAACTAATAGAAGAAAAAGTAGGCCCTAATCTCTATCATGTTGGATTAGGCCCCAACTTCCTTAATAAGACTCCTATAGCACAAGAATTAAAATCAAGAATCAATAAGTGGGGGCTGGGGATGTGGCTCAAGTGGTAGCATACTTGCCTGGCATGCGTGTGGCCTGGGTTCTATCCTCAACACCACATACAAACAAAGATGTTGTGTCCGCTGAGAACTAAAAAATAAATATTAAAAAATTCTCTTTCTCTCTCTTTCTCTTTCTTAAAAAAAAGAAGTGGGAGAGATTCAAACTAAAAATCTTCTTCTCAGCAAAAGAAACAATCAGTGAGGTGAATAGAGAGCCTAGAGAATGGGAGCAAATTTTTACTACATGCACATCTGATAGAGCACTAATAGCTAGGATACATAAAGAACTCAAAAATCTCAAGCACACAAACAAACAAATAATCCAATCAATAAATGGAACAGACACTTCTCATAAGATGATATACAATCAATTAACAAATATATGAAAAAATATTCAACATCTCTAGCAAGATGTACTCTTTTATTTATGTTATAAAACCTTAATACCAATCCTGATGAGGACAGTATAAGAAAGGAAATTTATATCCCAGATTCACATGTGAATATGGATATAATTCTATCAAAACTACCAAATCAAGTGTTGATATATATGCTTGTATGCATATGTGTTCATGCTTCTATGATGTATCAGTAAAGTAAATGTGTGTATAAACATTAGATGAGTATCTAAAACCAAGAGAAAAATTCTAATGATTTAATAACAATAGTAGCATACCCCAAGCAAACTAAAAGAGTAGGATACTTTCTTAATTTTACAGAATCAACAAAAATTATCACAAAAATCATTTTTATTAGGAAAACTGTTTCCTTTGAGGTAGGTTAAAAAACAAGAATATCTACTACCACCATTTCTTTTTCAATATTTTGTTGGAAGTAACAGATCATGAAGACAAGAAAGTGGAGTTAAACACACAAGAATTGCAAAGGAAGGCAAAATTTTCTTTATCATATTTAGTTTGTTGGTATAAAATTTGAAACTGCTAGAAATTTGAATATTGCCAACCAGAAGTAGCATTGTGCTTATATGTACCTTAATTTAAAAAATTAATCCATTGATTTCTGAATTCTATTTTGAAAGCTCACCTCTGGTTTATATTGATACTCATATTTATTTAATGTTAACAAATGCGTATTGAGATTAATCTTTATTTTCTACTAGTTATTACATGACTTTGATCCTTTAATTTATCTGGAAAGTCTTAAATATATTCATTAGTTTCAGTGAAATGAAACTACAGTTTCATTACAGTTAAAAATATTCAATATTCCTGTGATAATTGAATATAGTTGAAGAATATCATGTCTCCAGGGTTTTGTGTTATTCACATATAAGTTCTTTGAATAAAATACCTCAATAACATAAGTTTTATGCACAAAACATTACATATAACTTGAAATCCATGAGTACAAGCATAGATCTTTATTTAATTGTTTTTAATTTAAGAATTGTAATTATGTATCTGTTTTAATGTACTTATAAGTGTGGACCGGTTGCTATTTGTTCTTTCAGTAATTTCTTGAAAATATATTATGAAAATTATTTTTAAAAAGGAACTAAAGAGCAAATTTTAAATGATGGTAAATTTTGAGAGGAAGTTTAAAACTAATTTTTTTAAAAGAAAAACCTTGTAGAATCTGAAAAATTTGGGATCAAGATTAATCAAATTAAATCAGTTCACAACAACAAATTAATATTTGGGAATTAGTGTTTCTCTTAGGCAATTGGAAATACCCATACCATTAGCATTCAAGAGTAATTTATTTTTTCTTGTTTGTATGATTACCAGGAAAATTATATTTTCCATAAAGTTGTAAATAGGAATAAAAATAACAAATCTGTCATTCTTTCTCTTATTTTTCTTGATATTATTTATGCCAATTACTGAATAAATTGGTTGTTAAAAGTGGTCAATGAACAATAGTAATTCATATTTATACCTTGTATTTTTGTTTTATTTTTCCAAAATTTGAGTTTACTCTTTTTAAAATATTTTTTAGTTGTCAATAGGCCTTTATTTTTTTATTTATATGTAGTGCTGAGAATGGAACCCAGTGCCTCGCACATATGAGACAAGCACTCTGCCACTGAGCCACAACCCCAGCCCAAGTTTATTCTTTTTTTTAACTTAAATTGGAAGTCTAAATTATTAATTTCAAGCATCTTTTCTTTTCCAGCATAAATAGTATAGGAGTTATAATTTACCTCTAAGTACTACTTAATTGGAATTCCACCAGTTTGACCTATAGTATTTTTGTTATTTTAAAATTCTAGATATTTTATGTGTTCTATTATTTTTTCTTCAACACACATATTTTTAGTAACATTTTTTAAAAATTTCAAATATGTAATTTTGCATAACAAGAGGAAGTGACCGGAAAGGGGAAAATAATACAAGGGGGAGAAATGAATGACAGTAGAGTGGGTAGAGAGAGAAGAGGGGAGGGGAGGGTAGGGGAGGGGGGATAGTAGAGGATAGGAAAGGCAGCAGAATACAACAGACACTAGTATGGCAATATGTAAATCAATGGATGTGTAACTTACTTTATTCTGCAATCTGTATACGGGGTAAAAATGGGAGTTCATAACCCACTTGAATCAAAGTGTGAAATATGATATATCAAGAACTATGTAATGTTTTGAACAACCAACAATAAAAATTAAACAAACAGACAAAAAAAGAATATCCTACTAGGAATAGGGTAAGCCTGATGTTCATTTGCTGAAAGACAACATTAAAAAACAATTTTGAAATAAAAAGACAAAGTTTATGAAAAAAAATTTCAAATATGTTTTTTCCAGTTTGCTTATTAATAATTTCTCTTTTATTCATCTTTGGATGAGGGACTTCAGTCAATATGCTTCAGTCATTTAAATAGCTTCAGGCTGATATGACCTTGGAAGTGACCAATATCCATGAAATAATCTGTGCTTTAAGAATATATTTTGTGCAATGGTTGGGTGCAAAATTTTATATATTTATATATATTTTAGTTTAGTTTTTCTAATTGTATAGTTGAAATA